TCTCAGGATCCTTTGCCTGCAATTCTTCATAGAGTGCATAGTTGATCCAGAGGTAGATGTAACGCTTCCAGTGTCTCTTCTCCTGAATGGGTGGAATGTTGGCAATGGCTCTCTCATAAACCTCTCGCACTGTGTCAGCTTCTGCAGTGCTTTCCAGTAAGCGCAAGTAATCAAACCACGCATCATAATTGTGGGACTGGCCCTCACTTCCTCTTCATACTGGAATCTGCGTTTACTCACAATGATAGCGTCAATACCCTGCCTGTCACCAAACTTCTTCTCAAAGATGGTATAGTTTTTGAAGAGCTCTTGAGCCTCTTGTGTTGGGATTCGGTCCAAGGCATACTTGTAGATGACCTGGGCCCTCTCAAATTCTTTCTGGTTTTCCTCAAATTTGGCAAAGGCAACATAGAGGTGTTCATCCATATGTTCCTCTCCGAAGAACTCAACAGCGTTCTCATACACTTTCCGTGCGTGGGCAAAATAAGCATGTTTTTCTTCAGAGTGGGCATATTTGATCCAGTTGTTCACCCGCGGGTGCACAAGAACAAAGCGTTCGTAAATGGTCCGAGCCCGCTCCACCTCTTTGTATCTCAGCTCAAAGTTAATGTAGGAGTGCCAGGCTTGCTCCTCGGGCTGCCATTCCATCCAGCGCTCAAACACCTGCCGGGCACCGGCCATGTTCCCCAACAGCTCTTCCATGTATGTGCACTTGTACCAGAACTGGCTGACTCGTGTCAGTGTTGTGATGGCACGGTCCCACACATTTCTGGCATGGTTGGCCTGGCGATTCTTCATTTCCATTTCTGCATATTTCAGCCAGAGGGTGATATTTCTGTAGTCCACGTCTAAAGCACGCTCGTAGATGGATCGAGCCCTCTGAATTTCCTGGAGCCTTTCTTCCCATTGCGCGTATTTTATCCAGTTCCCAATCACAGTCCGGTTCTTCCTTAAGTTATCTTCAAAGGCCTTCCTTTTCCTCAGCTTGTAGTCATTGAATTCTTCTTCATCTGCGATCCTCTGTTGAGGTGGAGGTGGAAGAAGCTCAAGCTCTCGTTCTTTGGCCTCCCTCAGCAGTTGCTCAGCGGTGATCTGGACGAGAGCTGGAGCTTTGTTTCTGACCTTGGCCACCTGAGGGATCCGCAGTTTCCCGACTGCGGTGGAGACCGCCATGTCTGCAGGAGATCCTGGGAGATGTCCGCACACACTGGGATCGCAGAGAGCTGCCCGACAGAGAGCTCTTGACACTACCAAGCTTCCCAACAACGAAGCGAGTCCGCGGGAAGAGCTGAGTGACAGGAGGGAGCAAGACCAACCTGAGCGCCTACCTGCACTGGAGGGAGTGGCCCAGAGACAAAGCTTAGCACCAGCCAGAGGGCTTATATAGTGCCAGGCGGGGAGGAGGCGTGGCCACAGCGGAGGCGGAAATGACCTCAGAGCTTAGGGAGCCTCTCACTGGTGGAAGCAGGCAGGGCTGGGCGGATGAGGGAGTGACTGGGCTTATCAGGGTGTGACAGGGTGGATAAGGGCGTGGCTGGGCTTAGGGAGACAGGGCTGGGTGGGTGAGGGCGTGACCTCAGAGGGTGAGGTGGTGACCTCAGAGCCTGGAGCCCTTTGCTGACTCTCATTCAGGAGATTGACTGAGGAGATTACTGCTTTCCAGCAGGAGAATTCTGGAAAGGCTACCATGCTGCCCTCTCCTGCAAAGGAGGAGGAGAGCAGAAGGGGAGGGAGTGGTCTTATCCTGGGTACACAGAACATTCCAGCCTTTTGAAGATTCTCTGGGCTACTTCCTGCTGACACAGGGGTATCATTCTTAGGAATAGAATGCAGAGATGTCATCCGGATCAGGACAAGGCAGCAGAGATGGTTCCTTGATTGTGAACCTGGATATTCTTCTAGGGAAAGAAGACTTAGGAAACAGAGTCTGAATAAGAAAGGTGAAAGCTTAGTTTAGAAGTAGAGCGTCTGTTCCAATTTAACATGGGTAGCTTGATATCTTTAGTGGTTCACATGATGGCAGTAGGCTTTTGACCAATACATGGGCTAAGGAGGGATAGGAGCAAGATCTCATGAGATCTGACAAAGGATTCTTACTTTCCTGTGAGAAAATTGATCATCATTACTGTGCTGACCTCCCACTCAAAATGTCCTCAGAACATAGAGAGAAGCCAAACCCTCTGGGCCAGGTTGTTGGGCTCCCTTGTGTAGGGTTTGCCGAAAGGAGACCACCACATGGTTCAGGCAGAAAGAGTTTATTATATAGTATTTTATTTTGTTCCTTCCACAAGGAAGGAATTTTATTCTGCAAGTTTACAAATAAAAATAAAACAAAGGAAAACGTGGAAACGTTAAAAATAACTTTTCCTATTTTTTTTATTGTGAAAATACTGTACAAAGGGGTTACAATCACGTGGGCAAGGTAATGAGTACATTTATTATCAAGCATTGTTGCCTCCTGCTTTGCTTCCCCTCCCCATCCCTTCCAATCTGCCACCTCCCCACCCCAGCCAAAGTTGTAAAGTTCATTTTTCTTTAAATTTTTTTATTGTGAAAATACTGTACAGAGGAGTTACAATTACATGGGCAATATAGTGAATACATTTCTTATAAAGCCTCCTTATTATAGCTTCCTCCTTTGTTTACCCTTCCCATCCTTTCCCATCCTCCTTCCCCACCCACCCAATCCTCCCAAAGTTCATTTTTTTGACAAAACAACTTGTATATCTCATTGTTGCGATGGGTCTACCTGTATCCCTATTTAATCGACGTGTTTCTTCCCTTCCCCTCCACAAATTATACCAACATCAAATACAGTGAAAGCAGGGGTTATACGGTGGGAGAGGGACACACAAAGCAACAAAGAAATCATCTTATAACTATGTTAGTAACAATTGCAAGAAAGAAAAAAAATTTGAATACTCATTTTGGCGTTTATTTCACCGAACATCAATTTACGTAACCTTTTCTACTTGTCTCAGACATACACTAGTTATTGCAAATAAGGGAAACCATGGGACCTATGTTTCATTGGGCCTGGCTTACTTCACGTAATGTAATTTTTTCCAAGTCTTCCCTTTTCCTAACAAATGGGGCAATGTCCTTCTTTCTGCTGGAGGCATAGAATTCCATTCTGTATATATACCACATTTTCTTTTTTTTTTTTTTTTCTTTTTTTTTTTTATGGTTTTTTTTTTTTTAATTTTATTTTATTTTATTTGAGAACATACTGTACAGAGGGGTTACAATTACATGGTCAGGATAATGCATACATTTCTTACCAAGCATTGCAGCCTCCTCCTTTGTTTACCCTTCACCTCCCTTCCCAGCCTCCCCCCTCCCCCCCACCCAATCATACCCCCCCTCCCCCCCCTCCGACATTGTAAAGCTGGTTTTGACATGACATTTTGTACTTCTCATTGTTGCAACAGGTCCACCTGAATCCTTAAACGACTTGTTTGTCCCCATCTCCTCCACATGTTATACTGACATCAAATATAGTGAAAGCAGGGGTTACACTGTGGGGGAGGGACATACAAAGCAACCAAGAAATAATCTTATAAATGCGTTAGAAACACATGCATGAAAGAAACAAAAACATTAAAATACATATTTGAGGGTTCGTTTTCCTAACATCACCTTCTCTGACTTTTTCCGCTTGACTCATACCTATACTAGATATTGCAAATAAGGGAAACCATGGGACCTATGTTTCTTTGGGCCTGGCTTACTTCACTTAATATAATTTTTTGCAAGCCTTTCCATTTCCTAACAAATGGGGCAATGTCATTCTTTCTGATGGAGGCATAGAATTCCATTGTGTATATATACCACATTTTCTTGATCCATTCATCTATTGAGGGGCATCTGGGTTGGTTCCATATCTTAGCTATGGTAAATAATGCTGCAATAAACATAGTTGTGCTGGTAGCTTTAGTGTGGTCTTTTTTGTAAACATTAGGGTAAATGCCCAAAAGTGGGATTGCTGGGTCATAGGGGAGCTCTATGTGGAGTCTTTTGAGGAACCTCCATACTGCTTTCCAAAGTGGTTGAACAAGTTTACATTCCCACCAACAATGAAGTAAGGTTCCTTTCTGTCCACATCCCCTCCAGCACCTCACTCCAGTTAGAACAGCAAAAATCAAGAACTCTATACCACATTTTCTTGATCCATTCATCTACTGAGGGGCATCTGGGTTGGTTCCATATCTTCGCTATGGTAAATAATGCTGCAATAAACATAGTCATGCTGGTAGCTTTAGTGTGGTCTTGTTTGTAAACACTTGGGTAAATGCCCCAAAGTGGGATTCCTGAGTCCTAGGGGAGCTCTGTGTGTAGTCTTTTGAGGAACCTCCATAGTGCTTTCCAAAGTGGTTGCACAAGTTTACACTCCCACCCACAATGCAGTAAGGTTCCCTTCTGTCCACATCCCCTTCAGCATCTGTTGTTATTAGAGTTCTTGATTATAGCCATTCTAACTGCGGTGAGGTGGTATCTCAAGGTTGTTTAGATTTGCATTTCTTTTGACTAGAGAGGTTGAGCATTTCTGCCTGTTACTATTGGCCATCCTTCTTTCCTCTTCAGAGAAGTTTCTCTTTAAGTCTTTAGCCCACTTATTTATTGGGTAGGTGTTTCTTTGAAGATTTGTTGCTGGGGGATTTAATTTTTTGAGTTCCAGGTCTATTTTAGATATGAGACCCTTGCCCATTGTGTGGCTAGTGAAACTCTTCTCCCAATCCGTGGGCTTTCTATTGATCTTGCGAGCTATGTCCTGTGCCATGCAGAAGCTCTGCAATTTCATGCAGCCCCATTTGTCCAAGCTTTCTTGGATTTGTTGTGTTTCTGGGTCTCTGAAGACAATTTTGGCCTGTGTCAAGCAGACCTAGGCTTTCTCCTCTTCCATCCTGTAAAATTTTCTGAGGGTCTGCTTTGACTCCGAGGTCTTTGATCCATTTGGAGTGGATCCAGATTTGGATTTTACTCTGACCCTTTCCAAAGCATATCCCCACGACTTGCATCACTAGGGTTCTGGACCAAGTTCATTGAGTGAGAAGAGAGAAGTATCTACGGCTTCCTCCTCTTCTTGCCTTCATGCTCATGCTCCTCAGGTCGGCTGGTATCTGCAAGTCTTTTGGAGCCACTGTGCTGTTTAGCTTCTTGCAGAAACTTGTCCAAACCAAAAGGATCCTCCTCAAACTGCACTGGCCCTTCTCGTCCGGTCTGCCTATGTTCTGAACCGGAAAACTCTTGAACTGGAAGAAAGCTGTTGGACTGGATTTTGGTTTTTAGGTCATCACCATCCATGTCCTTGTCCAGATTTGTCCTGGGCCTATAGATGGTCTGGGCCATGTCTTTATCGCCTCTCCAGGTGAGATCATAAACGCTGTAAATGTCATCTTCTCCACCTGCAAATCCGCTGTCCATACCTTTGCACTGGTTGAAGAGCCTCTGGTCATACCAAACTTCCTTGGAGGTTCCAGGATTGGGGACACCCAGAGCAATGACTTCAGTGATATCTCGATGTTCCTTCCTCTGCGGTGGTTTCCATCTCTTCTCAGCAGCTGCCCTGGAAAGATGCCGGTTGTGCTGTCTCTGTTTTTGCCTCTCGTGCCGGATCTCCTCCCTCCCACAGGCCTCCCCATCTTCTCTGTCCACACGGGTTTTGATGCCAGCTCTCCTCTTCCTGGCTTTTTGGGCCATCACTCTAAGTTTCTCTTCATGCTTCTCTTTTGCTTTCTGAGCCCTTTTTCTCTCCACTTGGGCCCGTGTTTCCACAGCCTCCCGAGCCTTCCGATCGGCAATGTAGAGAGCTTCGGCGAGTTTGGCAAAGTTCTCATTGATGTGTACCATCTGAAGTCCTCTTGCATCGGCGGCCAGTCGCTTGTCTAAGGGAATTGTATAACCCTTTGCATTTTTCCAGTTGGAGATGCAAGGAGGAATCTTCCACTCTTGTTGCTCCTTGGCAGTCATCTTTTGGCTTGGAGAGTGCATGACAGGTGCAGGAGGAGAAGGTGGTCCCCGGGGAATCTTCTGGTTGATCCGGAACCTCGGAGGCTCCATTGGATCTGTCTGCATCTCTACCATGCGAATGAGCCTCTGTGTAGCTCCAGAGTTCAATGCCACTCCTTGCTGAGATGGTGTGTATCGCAGATACTGAGCAGGAGCCAGTTGATCAGCTGCCCCAACTGGCATGGCTGAGGCAACCTTCTGCTGCACACACTTCTCTAAGGCTACCCTTGTCTTTGCTGTGATCTCTTGAATAGCTTCTTCGCCGGGTCTCTGTAGGTCTGGATCACTGGCATTCATCCCCTCCTGTGGCCCCAGGTCAGTATATTTGCTGTAAATGACCTTGTCTTTTGACTGACCTTGTCCAGCAACTGCATCGTACCGAATTCTTCCTTCTGGATCGACCTGAATGGTCAGCGCATTGGCCCTGGTTTGTTGTCGTCCCATATCTAGTGGATACTGGGCCAAATGGATCTCTGGAAAAGCACCTCCATCTCCAAAATCTTCTAGCGAGCGAGGATTCCAACCTTTTCGGCACCCATACGGGGGAGGTTCTCTGCGTGAGGAGGCCAAGGAGGTCTGCCAGGAACTGTGAGATCTTGCCTTCTCTTCAGCTTCATGTTGGTCCTGGGATAGCTGAGTAGGTGCGGGTAAAAAGCTGGTGAGCGCCATCTTCTTTGGCAAGAGTTGATTTACCCAAAAGCAACAGCAAGGACAGCACACTGCCAGCCTACCTGAGCTGTATACCACAGTACAGAGTGTGAAAGTTTAGGGCAGGGGAGAGGGATTAAATAGGGGAGGGCCAGGAGCAGGTGTGGCCACAGGGGATTCAGAAAGGACCTCAGAGCCTAGGGAGCCTCTGGGGAAAGCAGGTGTGGCCTGGCCCAAGAGGGCTTGGCAGGTTGGATCTGGGTGTGACCTTGTGGATGAGGGTGTGACTGGGTGGAGGAGGCCTGGACCTCAGAGCATTAGGCAGTGACTGGCAGTCAGAGGATGAACCCTCAGAGTTGATTACTGGTTTCCAGTAGGCCATTTGTGCTAAGGCTACTGTGTTGTCCTTCTAGGGGAGGAGGAGAGGATGGGGGGAGGGGACTATTCTCCCAGGTAGACCTTACATTCTACTCTGTTTCTAGTGATGAAGGGTTTCTGATTCTCCATGGATACACAGGGTGTTATTTTTAGGGGTATAAGCCTGAGATGTCATCAGGGTCTGGGACAAGGCACCAGTTACATTTCCTTGGCTGAGAATGCACATATGCTTCTATGGAAAGTAGTCTTAGGAGGTAGAGGCTAGATAAGAAGAAAGTTGAAAGTTTAGTATGGCTTGAGAACTTCCATTCCACTATAAATGGGTAACTGGATGTCATTAGGGTTTCCCGTGGTGGCAACAGGAGTCTAACCCAGAAGGGGCGAGGGCTGATTAAATTCTACAAAATGATCCTGCTTTTATGTGGGAAGGTGGATAATCGCCAGTCTCCTGACCTCCTCCTTAAAGTGTCCTTGGTATCTGTAGAAAAGCCAAACCCTCTGGGCCAGGTTGTTGGGCTCCCTTGTGTAGGGTTTGCCGAAAGGAGACTGGCACATGGTTCAGGCAGAAAGAGTTTATTATATTGTATTTTATTCCTTCCACAAGGAAGGAATTTTATTCTGCAAATTCACAAATAAAAATACAAAAAAGGAAAATGTGGAAAGGTAAAAAAGAAGTTTTCCATATCCGGTGTCCTGGCTAAGGGCGGCTCTGGATGGAGGAGCCAGGTTTGCATGGGGCTGGGTGTCTGGAATGCTATCGGTTGAAGCTGAATTCTGTGCCCAGTACTGGGATTATCCGGTTTGTGATGTTGAGGTGGAAGCCAGTCTGTTTTAGGTCTACTTGCCCATCTGGCTGTAACATAGACTGCTGTTGGAGCTGCTGCGGCCTGGGTCATTTTCCACCTTCTGTGACTTGGTCGATGTAGGCCACTTTGGTAATGTGGAAGGGTCGTTAGCCTCTTCTTCTTCTGGTCTCTGCAGGTTTGCATCATCCACTTTCATAACCTCATTTAGAACCTGGTCAGTATATTTGCTATAAATGACGTTACCTTTTGGCTGTCCTTGTCCAGCAATTGCATCATATTGAATTCTTCTTTTAGGATTGAACTGAATATGCAATATATTTGACCTAAATTTTATGTCATTCCCATATCTAGGAGATACTGGACCACATGGATTTCTGGAAAAGCAACTTCATCTCCAAATTCCCCTAACAATTGCGGTATCTATCCTTTCTGTTTCCCGTAGGAGGAGGTTCTCTGTGGGAAGATACCAAGGAGGTCTGCTTTGACGTTTACATCCTGCTTCTTTTCAGCTTCAAAAGTCCTGAGATAGCTGAATAGGTGCAGGTAGAAAGCTGTTGAGTGCCATTTTCTTCAGAAAATTTTTTAACAGTTCAAAATGGTTTTCCTTGCAACTCTCCACCTTCAACTAACCCAAAAGAGCAGATACTCTCCTCAGCCTGTGTTTCAAAGGGTGAAAACCTTCATGGCCCCTGATTCAAAGGGAGGTGTTCTTCTTACCTTTTATTTGGGGTTATGTTTATTGGTTTCTGCCCCCATTCTTTCAGTCTAGCTTGTATGCCAAATCCCTGCTAGATTTGGAGTAACTGCTTGGAATTGAATAATACAATTATATCCCTTAGGGTTCTATGAGTCACCTTCAGATATTACAGATAATGTGGGTCCCTCCATCTAGCTGTTGGCTTCATTAGTCAATTTGGTCTCCACAGTCTGGGTCCAGAGTACTTAGAGAAGAGATTGTAAACAGCTGCTCACATCTTGCTCACATCTTGCTTTATTCAGGCTTAATCCTGGATCTGGTTGTTAGATGGGTTATGTCCATATCTCTCAAAAACTCCAGTTTATACTCCTAGTTACATCAGAGTCTTGGTGGTATGGAATTGAAAGAATTTTCCGGTGTCTCTTATTACTATTCATGATTAGAAAGGTGCTCTGGAAAGCTAGCTGTCTGTGCCCCCAGTCATGCTAGGTGGTGTTTGAACTTGGCTCTGGAAGTGTCCCCTCTGAGGCTGGTGGTCATCTGGGAAACACAGGATGAGCCTGTAGGGCCCATGCTCAAAGCTAAGACCTCCATTCTGAATACCTAGGGATATTGGATAGTCTCACTGTGGTCCCAATCAAGCTGGATTTGATGACTTGCCAGGCTTTCTTAGTAGGGCTTCTTGAGGCCTAGTGGAGCCTCTTTTCCCACTTACCTCTTTTTCTTAAGTATTGTTATACACAGGGGCTATAACAGATCATGGTAAGTATCACTGATCTGGGGCTTTGAGTAGGTTCCCTGTGAAGCTTATCGGCAAGAGTCTTTCCTGCTGTGTGGCCTGTTACTGGTATCTTCCACCTTGGCCAGCTATTTCCCTGAACAATTGTGGTGGCAGCTACCATAATAGTCATGTAGTGGAGTCATGTAGTTTTTAAGCTCCTTGCTATAAGTAGGGCCCAATACCTGTTCAGTCAAATCTCCTCTGCCTTTAAGCTGATGCCCCTTGGACCTCTGGAAATGAGCTTTTAGTAACAGCTGTGTTCCCAAACCTACAAACTGGGCAAGTACATCCGAGTTTTGTGAGTGCTAATCTTAGGTTTGATTCCTGAGATTTTGATAAAGGCTTTGCTGCCTGACACCATGGTACCAGTTTTTGCAAGGAGTAATTGACAAGGGGACAGGAGAAATACTGAAATCTGTCTGCCTCATTGGCAGGTAGTGAAGGAATTGAAATGCCCTGAGATTAAGTGTGAGCAGCATCTGGTTGTAACTGGGGTTCTCTGGAAGCTGAAAATCCAATATGAAGGTCGTTGAGGGTCTCTGGTCCCATATTATAGGTGGGTTCCCCTTACCACCCTATGAGTAATTTAGAATCCCTTAGATTCCTATTCTTTCTCTTGCCCTTGTGATGGTTATACAGGATTAGGTGGGCAGATTTGGAGACAACTCCGTACTTGAGGGGGGAAAGTAAGATTCATGGGGCAATCCCTGGAGTCAGATGCTATCATGGAGGCCTCCCAGAGGAGAGGCTTAAAATACAATGGATTTAAAGCACACTTTGAAATGAGCTTAAGGGCATACTGATGTAAAATGTTGAAGACTAGTTGGATGTTATTTCTGTTAAAATGTTTCCTGGAATTACTACTCTGATCTTAAATTGTAAAACGTTCTTCAAAACTTTTCATTGACTTAACTGAATACTTATGGGGTATGGTTTGTTACATATATGCATAGTATCATATATGCATGGTATCATCTCAAATACTAGAAATCTCCTCCTAGATTTTTGAAATACTCAATATAATCGTCTCTCTCCTGGGCAACAAACACTAGAATTTATCTGTTCTATTGTACTTGGTGCGTTTTGGCCCATCTTTCGCTATCTTCTCTTTCTATGCTTCCCAGCTTGTGACTACCAATATTCCAAGGGGAGCTTCTTCAACTTCAAGACCATAGATTATCATTCTGTGCCTCAGCACTTAATTCTTCCAGGTTCATGCAAGTTCCAATAAATGACAGGATTTCCCTATGGCTAAATGTTATTCCATTGTGTATACAAACTACATTTTCTTTATCCACTTGTCAACTGATGTCTAAGACTCCATAGCCTGTGAATTATGAACATTATTGTGAGTAATCCTGCAGTAGACTCAGGAATACAGACAGGATTTGTTCTCTGGTTATATACCCAGTAGCCAATCCCATGTACCCAGTAGTAGATCCCATGGTAGTTGTATCTTTAAATTTTAAGGAAACATCCATATAGTTTTCTATAAGGCTGTATATAACGTTTTCCTCTCTATGAACATTTTAAAAACCTGTAAACTTAAAAACACTCTTCTAAATGTGGTAAAGTGACAATTAATTGTGGCTTTTAAGTTACATTATCCTAATTAGCAACATTTTTGTAGGCCTGTTAAGTAATTTGCATGTCTCTTGAAAGGTCTATTCAAGTTTTAGGTCCACTTTTAATTGTATATTCTCTTGATATAGAGTTTACACATTAGGAATGTTAATCTCTCGTCAGCGAGTTTGTAAATGTTTTCTTCCATTCTCTACATTTTTTATTCTGTTTCTTTTGCCATGCAGAATGTTTCAATTCCATATAACCCCATTCATCTGTTTTTGCTTTGGAGATCTTATTTTTAAAAATCCTTGCTCAGGCCAATGATATGGAAAATTACCTGAAGTCTAATCCAAAAAACCAAACATGCTTCTAAACTTCCAATTCTTGAGTGTTCACACCATGCCAGAAACGGAAAATTCCACTTGACCATAGATCACAGGTTCTAGGAAAAATGCAGGCATGCCAAACTGTATAAGATGAGCTTCAGGTGTGTGTAAGGAACACACACCACTTAGGAATTTCACTTTTCCCTCTTCAGATCTGGGTCATTTCCAAAACACCCCATTATGTGACATCCAAAACATTTCTGACCCAAGCCTTCTGGAGAAGGATGACGCCTCCTGTATGAGTCTCATTGAGTCTAATGTTACAACTCGGGAACCTATCACGTGGGTTACGATCGTCCCTCTTCTCATCCTGGGCTCATCTCACTGAGTTCTCCATCTGTGCCACATTTCAGCAGTATACGCTTCTGTTCTTTTCCCACATTAAAAATATCTTCTTTCTTGGAGCT